AGAGGAGAAAGTAGGAGGGGGTTGATGGGGCTGGGGGGAGTGAATGGACTACGACACAGAGAAATGATGCCCTCTTAGAGTCCGCTGAGAATGGTGATCTGGCTGTAAAGACAGGGCAGGTTCTTGTGTCTCCGCTGGGCCCATCTGCAGTGCAGACAGAGGCATGGAGAGTTGGGGTAATTGGGCCACCTTTTGCCCAGCTTGTTCATGTTCTCCTCCGCCAAATGGCTTCAGACTCGTCTGTTCCTGACTCTTGACCTCCCTTTCCTTGGATCATTTACTTTAGAAAACTTGTAATTACAAACTCTTTCTCTGCCTCTTTGAGATGTAACTCTTTTTAAAAGCCTCCTGCCAGTTTTACAACCCAGAACTGTCTTTCTCAAGGATGTGGGAGCTGTCTACCCCTTTGAAATGTAGCCACGTATCTCTCTTCTGCCAGGGAGAGTCAAGCCTGGCTTTGATGGGCTCCAGTGAGCAAACATGCAAGGCCTCGTCACAGTGACAGGCTTCCCCAAATGTCCACCAGTATTTTTCCAGCGGCTCACCCCAGCCCTGAACATACTTCCNTTATATATATAAAAGAATATATATATATTCTTTTCCAGATGATGGTTTATCACAGGATATTGAATATAGTTCCCTGTGTTATACAGTAAGACCTTGTTGTTTATCTATTTCTATATACAAGAGTTTCCATCTACCAATTCCAAGTCCCAACTCTTCCCTCTCTGCTTGGTATACACAAGCCTGTTCTTTGTCAGTCTGTTTCATAGGTAAATTCATTTGTGTCATATTTTAGGTACCACATATAAGTGACAGCATATTGTATTTGTTTTATCATTTCTGACCTACTGCATTTAGTATGATAATCTTGAAGTCCATCCATATTGCTGCAAATATTATTTCATTCTTTTTTATGGCTGAGTACTATTCCATTGTATATGCCTCTACACCACATCTTCTTTATTCATTCGTCCGTTGATGGAATTTAGACTGCTTCCACATCTTGGCTATTGTGAATAGGGCTGCTGTGAACATAGGGGTATGGATCTTTCTGAATTACAGTTTTGTCTGGGATTGCTGGATCCTATGGCAACGCTAGCTCTAGCTTTTGAAGATCCCCTATACTCTTTCCACAGTGGCTGCTGCAGTTGGTCCTGACGCTTCCCCCGGGGCTTGGTTTCTGTTGCCCTCTGCTGTGGAGGCTACAAAGACAGAGCCTCATCTTCCGGGCTGGCCTCATGCCCCCGGGGAAAAGCATGCCTCGGAGGTCTAGGTTTTTGCTTTGACCTGGTAGCTCCTTATTGCCTTCTTGCTTCTTGGACGTTTTTGAGAAGATTTAAACATCTTTATCCTGTTTAGTTTTAGTGGGAGGTTGGGGTGAATAACGTGGTAAACAGGGACCAGTCATGACCTTGTGGATTTCTCTGCCTGCCCTGACTCTAGAGCCTTAAACTCAGTGTCCACAGCTCATCTTCCTGGAAAACCCCAGCCTCTCATAGCCTGAGCTCCACAAAGGCCACTAGAAAGTGTGTGATCCCAGACATCCCACAGCTGGTCAGCCCAGGGCAGCCACTAACCTTTATAAGAAAATATCTCTTCTTCAAGTTAAGTGTTTATAAATAGGCATGTTATTTCCTAATAATAAATATTGTAGCAAACAAGGACTCTGTTTGAGTAAGACATTTAATTTCATCCCCAAACTGTCAAAACATACGAATTTAGTTACAAGACACTTTTACTGCCATCTGCCAAAATTGTAGTAAACACACATGTCCTGTTTTTGAAAGAAAACAACATATAATTTTTTTTTCCAAAATAAGAAATGTCTATGTTGTGAGTAGCACTCCCTTTGATCTGACAACTCGAGCGCTTGTAACAGCCATCCTGAATGAGCCTATTTTATTCTTGCGCCGTCTCTAGCTCCTAAATCTATCATAAATCTGTTCCTTTTTCCATCGTCCATTTTCCCTGTCACTGTTTCAGTTCAGGTCTTTATTCCTAGCGTGGACTATTGCAGTCGCCTCTCACTGGCCCTGCAGCCTGAGCCTGTTTCCTCCATGTGCTCAAGCTGCTCACCTTACTCTGCCTGCCCGTGGCATTGACCACTCTCCTGCCTGAAAGTCCTTCCCAGGGAAACTTCTAGATGCCCTTCAGGACTGCGGCTGGGCTGAAGCGCCCATATGCAGTTTCCTTCTCCTCAGTGCGTGGTGCTCTCCTCATTCTAGCACCTGCTGTGGGAAATGGTTGGCTTCTGGGTTGGCTGCTGAGTTTTTTTTTCCCACTTGATTGTTTCTCCATCTTGCAGGGTTGACAGGCTTTCTCTTTGCTTCCATGTCCCCCTGAACACACCTCTATAGTAGCATCTACGCATGTTTTGTATCCACACATTTAGTCTCTTTCCCTTCATTTGATTGAACTCCTTGAGTCAGAGACGCATCTGGAGAGTCTTTGAGCCTCTGCGTCTGACACAGGGTTTGGTCCTGGTAGCTTCTTCCTTTCTCGGAAAACATGTGCCTTCCTGGCTTATCCTGTTTCTGGAAGTCCAGCCCCTCTTCCTCCCGCTGCTGCCTTTGAAAGTCTGGAGGGGGAGGGAAGGAAGGGTGTCTTACTGGTAGAACCCTTGCAGAACCCCCTTAGTCAAGTCAGTTCAGTTCCGTCGCTCAGTCGTGTCCGACTCTGCGACCCCATGGACTGCAGCATGCCAGGCCTCCCTGTCCATCACCAGCTCCTGGAGCGTGCTCAAACTCATGTCCATCCAGTCGGTGATGCCACCCAACCATCTCATCCTCTGTGGGCCCCTTCTCCTGCCTTCTGGGGAGTGGTTTTGCTGCCCTTGTCATTACCCCCAAGGCCACTAGGGGGCAGAGAAGTCTCATCCTTCCCTGGATCAGGGCCCAGCCAGGAAGAGCCACCTTCCCTGAACAGGTCCATTCCCCAGGAACCGATGTGTTGAAGATCATTTTGCAAACTGGTCGACTCAGCGAATAACCAACTTGCTAAATCATGGATGAGTTATTTGAAGCTTTGGTATTCCTCAGAGTGCTCCCCACAGCTTCTGTTTCATCTAAGAAGGAGGGAACTTTTCTTGATCTCAGTTCATCGTCTTCTCAGTTTTGGGGACATTATATCCCATCAGGCCTGTGACGCTGCCATGACCTGACCTCCATTTCCGGCAGTGACACAGCTGGGATGTTGACTGACCAAGTGTCAGGCTTCTGCCTGATGGTTTTTAATGAGTCAATTTTATGTGCAATGACCCAGTGCCCCAGGCAGGATGGAGAGAGTCTTCTTGGAGGAGGGTCCTCCTTACTAAGGAGTGGTGTTGGAGAAGACTCTTGAGAGTCCCTTGGCCAGCAAGGAGATCAAACCAGTCAATCCTAAAGGAAATCAACCCTGAATATTCATTGGAAGGACTCACGCTGAAGTTGAAGCTCCAATACTTTGGCCACCTGATGCGAAGAGCTGACTCATTGGAGAAGATTCTGAGGCTGGCAAAGACTGAGGGCAGGAGGAGAAGGAGGCGACAGGAGGAGATGGTTAAATGGCATCACCGACTCAATTGAGGATATGAGCTTGAACAAACTCAGGGAGATGGTGAAGGACAGGGAGGCGTGGTGGGCTGCAGTCCATGGGGTCACAAAGACTCGGACACGACTGAGCGACTGAACAAGTAGGATAGGGGATGGGCGAGACTTTGTCAGTTTCCCCTCTTGGTGGCAGACTGAACTTGAAGACCAGCCCAGAGGGAAGGGGGACCCCACGGGGACAGAGCAGCCCCTCAAACCCGGTGCAGACCCACTGCTCCTCCTTCCACGGGGTCCCTGGAGGCTCAGCCCGCCTCAGACATTTCAAGGACTGCAGCCTGGTGAGGCAGTGCAAGCTCAAGGGCCTCTGCAAGGTGCCTGAAAGTCCTCTCACTGGAAGGACGTTAAGCTAAGAGGAAAAAGTCAGTCACAGAGGACAAACACCACTGATTCCAGTCACAGGAAGTATCCCAAGCTGTCAAAAATCACAGACGCAGAAAGTCGAAGGTGGTTACCAGGGGCTGCAGGAGGGGCATTTGCATCTAATGGGCCTGGGGTTTCAAGTTTTCTGATGGAAAAGTTCTGGAACGCTACACAACGTGGAGAAGACACTTGATGCTGTTGAGCTGTACACTTAAAAATGGCCAAGATAGTGGATTCAGTGTTACACAGTGTGAGGTTTTTGTTTTTGTTTTTTTAACTACAGTAAAATAATATAAGGTCTTCCTCTGCGTTCGATCTCCTCCTCTAGTAAGAAGCTTTGAACACTTAGGGATCAGGAAAAAGGGTTTTCTTTTATGAACTCTAGGAAAGCATCGGAAGTCTAGCATTTCAAATGTTTGACTAGCTCCGAGCAAAGAACTTGACTTCCTCCAGTAAGCAGCGCGGGTCCGAGGTCCCAGTTTCTCTGGGGATGGGATTCAAGGAGGGCCCCCCCTCGGAAGGCAGGAGAGCCGCTGTTACAGCAAGCCGGGAGCGCTGCTGCAGGGCCGAAGGAGGGCAGGGACGCGGTGGGAGAAGGTAAGCTGTGTTTGCGGGTGTCCACCCGGATCCAGAGGAAGGCTGGGGGCGGGGACCTGCGGACCCTCCCCACGGCTGGCCCGCTGCCCCCGGAGGCACCCCGTCCGGGGCCCTGGGCACAGCCAGCCTCCTCCTCCGAAGGCCCCTTCGGAAGCTCGGCTGGGGCTCCGCCCCTCGGCCCCGCGGGGGCCCGGCCTGTGGGCGCGCCGAGCTGGGTGGGCGCGGTCCCTCCCGGACTCCGACCGCCCTGATCCTGACGATCTCACCCCGCGCATCTGGCGTCGCTTTACTGAACTTCCCCTCCCACGGCCCTCGAAACCCATTTCTAGAAACCTCTTCCTCCTCCGAAGTGCTCCTGCCTCTGCCCTGCTCTTCCCGCGCGGCTCCTCCATCCCCTGAGCGGACCGAGCGGCCTCCTCACCCAGCCCAGCGGCCGGCGGGACCCGGCGGGGCTGAGGCTGTCGTGGGACACCGGGGCACCGGACCGAGGTGCGTGTGCGGCGGGTGCCTGGACGCGGGGCGGGGGGCGGGGATGGGGGAGGGGAAGGCGGCCGACCCCCAGGGCGGGGCACGGCCGCCTGGAGGGCTTGCTTTCGGGGGCTCTGGGATGTCCCTCCCGCTCCAGCCTGCAGGGCCGGGGTTTGGTGGGGGGCACCCAAAGGTTCCTGCCGTCCCGGGAGTCACGCCCGAGGGCAGCCTTCCCAGGAAGGGGCAGGTCTGGGAGAGGCTGCTGTCCCCACCTAGGGCTGAGATGAAAGCCTTGAAGAAAAACAAGGGGCGCGATCCGCTCCTCGAATCCCCTAATTTCACGACTGTGACACAGAGTACCCCACCCCACCCCCCCTGCCCTCAGGAATTCAGCGATAACTGCCTGCCTCCTTGAGAAGCAGGGGGCAGGAAAGCTGGCCATTTGGACACTGATTTTCCACATTTACTTTCCTGTTATTTCCCAGTTCAGTTCAGTTCAGTCGCTCAGTCGTGTCCGACTCTTTGTGACCCCATGGACTGCAGGATACCAGGCCTCCCTGTCCATCACCAACTTCCAGAGTCTACTCAAACTCATGTCCCTTGAGTTGGTGATGCCATCCAACCATCTCATATTCTGTCGTCCCCTTCTCCTCTCGCCCTCAATCTTTCCCAGCATCAGGATCTTTTCCAATGAGTCAGTTCTTCGCATCAGGTGGCCAAAGTATTGGAGCTTCAGCATCAGTCCTTCCAGTGAGCATTCAGGACTGATTTCTTTTAGGGTGGACTGGATGGATCTCCTTGCAGTCCAAGGGACTCTCAAGAGTCTTCTCCAACACCACAGNCAAAAAAAAAAAAAAAAAAAAAAAGAAAAAAAAAAAGCTCAAAAGATATTTCCCAGCCCTTGCACAATTAAGATTCCATTAACTGTGCATTGAAAGTGGTCAGTATTTGGTCAGAAAGCCAAAATACTTTCAGATTTTATCTAAAATTAAGCTTCCTAGGCTGTCACCTGTGAACTCTTTTCCTTCCTCCTGCTGGGCTGGGACTGAGATCTCTCCAGGAAGTGCTCCAGAAGCTTCTCTGACCAACTTTTTCTGTGCATGTGGACTGCCCTTGATATGGGAGGAAGCTTTGGTTGGATGGATGCCTGAAGCCATGATCCCCCTTGGGCTATATCCTGAGAAGAAGGCGGAGGCTGCCTCAGAATGTCAGCAGGAGTTCTGGAGAAAGTCTGTTTGTGTGTCTTTTTCTCTCTGTTGCTCTGTTGGGGTCTCCAGAGTGGTCTGGGAGATGATGAGGAAAATGTGAGTTATCAAGGAGAGAATGGGGGTGAGTTGGTTCCCTTTTGTCCTTAAAAGGATTTTCTGTACCCTTGGGAGAAAATGGTACAGGTTGGGCAATTGTATGTATATATATAGACACACACACACACAGAGGGAGAGAAAATTAGTTCTGATTCAGTATGGCATCATTGGCTGGAAGGAGTCTAATAAACACTCATCCATTTCATCATGATGAGGAACCATATGAAACAATGATGTGTACTTGGGAAATGAATTCTTTTTTTCTTTGGCCTGCTGAAGGTCTCTGCTTCCTTAAGCTTATTTACTCACTAATCTTTTAAAAAATTTAATGTACAAAAATATACCACTTCTTCATTAGATCAGGAAACAATATAAAGTCACTTCTCTTTTATTATTCAAAGTTATTCAAATTACTCTTTTATTATTTATTATTCAAAGGGAGACATCACTTCAGTCTCCCTCTCCACTTCTAAAAACAGTTTTTCTTCCTTTCCTCACATCTGTCACTCTCACCATTTATTTCACACCATTCATTGAGCATATACTCTATGCCAGACATAATATTATGACTCAGGGACATAGAACAAGACAGGCATGGTCTCTGGGCTTATAGAGTTTCATGCTAAGGGCAGCAAAGAGTAAATGAAAAACACAGTAACACTAGATAGAAACAGTGTTACGATGGCGATAAGGAGAGTCAGGATATGGGGAATTAGGGTGAGGACGCCTTTATAGAGGGGTGTGTCTGGGTCAGAAGAGGCTCTTAGAAGAGTCCCAGCAGTGACTGGGCTTCTGTCCTTGCTGTAACCTTGGAGGTGTGTGTTCTGAGCTGAGATGGGCTTGCCTCTTGCATCGTGTGGAGATCCAGAAGATGCCTGTAGGGAGGAGCCCAGGCCTCCATCCATGGCCCTGATGAGCTTCTCCTCAGCTCAGCCCTATATTTCCTCTAAGGTGAAACTTCTTAAGGGCAGGTGTATGTCCTTTGCTACCTTCTCTGATTCCTTCCTCACAGTCTACCAATACTCTTCTCATAAGAGGTGGGAACTTTCAAATAGCTGCACAGAATAAGGGTTTTTCTCCTTCACATTCAGCTGTGGTTCTTCGTCCTTCAAGTCAGTAAGCATCTGCTCAGTCATAGCGAGTATTTATCGAATGCCTTCTTGACTTAGATATGCTAGTGAATGAAACAGAACAAGTTCCTTCTAGTAATGGGGAGACAAAACAAGAAAGCAATAAGCAAGTGAATGCACCTTGCATTGAAAGTGGGTGCTGTGGAGAAAAAGAAAGCAGGGTAGGGGGATGGGGTGTGTTTGTGGGGTGTTGGGGGAGAGTAGCTTTTAAATATAGGATGACTGAAGAAGGCCTCTTGAACCACAGAGACAGGTCTGGTGGAGACCTAAAGGAAGTGAACCTGCCTGGCATAAGTTTGGGGAGAGAATGTTCTAGCTCAGGTGAGCCACCAGCATGAAGCCCCAAGGTCACATATTTGGGGACTTTCAGGGAGGCAGACAAAGCAAGGTGGAAACAGGTGGTGGATGAGGCCAGATCGGGTAGGGTCTTGTTCAGTTCAGTTCAGTCTAGTCGCTCAGTCATGTCCGACTCTTTATGACCCCATGGACTACAGCACGCCAGGCCTTCCTGTCCATCACTAGCTCCCGGAGCTTGCTCAAACTCATGTGCATTGAGTTGGTGATGCCTCTGTGAAGACTTTGCCTTTTTTTGAATGGGTGGGAGGCCACTGGGGGACTTGGGGCTGATGAGTGATACCGTCTGTGTCTTAGTCAGAGTACTCTGACTATAGAAGGATGACAGATTCTAGGAGAAGGGTAGAAGCAGGAAGTTAAGTTATTGCAGAAGTTCAGTTCAATCTGGAAAAACCAGGAAGGGCTTGACATGGAGGTTACATGCTAAGTGGTGTAAAATGGAGGGTTTCCTGGCAGACAGGAGGTGGGGGTGCATAGTAGGGGACTGGAAGTAAGGGAGCAGACATGAGGTGGGGTCCCTGATTGTGAAAGCACCTATGATTACAGGTCACACATTCCTTCCAAGCCCACAGGAGACATTTACAAAAATTTTATTCGGCCAAAAAGTTAACCTCTACCAGTGACAGCTATTTCATACAGATGTTGTTCTCTGACCATAGAGCAATAACATTCAAAAATATATGAAAAGACAGTCTCCCAATATATTTTTTAATAATCACTTTTTAAAATTTATGGGTTGGAAAGAAATCAAAGTTGAAATTAGAACATATTTAAAACTGATCAACAAAAAGCAGCAGCAATGAGATGTCAGTTCTTCTCAACCAAAGCTGTGAATTCAATGCAATAATGTTCAGCATTTCATTAGGAAAGTGACAACTGATTGAAAAATTCTAGAGAAGATAAAAAAGCTGAGAGTAGCAAGAAAATTTTGAACACGTGCAAGGGGTTGGGACTTGCTTGATCAGAAAAGTAGGACTTATTTTAAAATTATACTAATGAAGTCATATTGATTTTGGTGATTAAGGCTTTCTGGTTGACAAAGAGACCAAATCCAGGGGACACAACAGAGAACCTTGGGGCACACTAGGACAGTTGGGGTCCCTGGTACCTGACAGAATCATCTGGGAAGGATGGACTACTGGAGAAATGGACAAGGAAGCTTGGCTCTTTCTGTGGATTCTGAATCAGTTAGGAACTAAAGGTGACTCCCACCCAGACTTCTCAAACTTGAAGGTTCACGGGAATCACTTGGAATTTGTGAAACTACAGGTGCTGATGCAGGGGGCTGGGGTGGGGCCCAGGACTCTGCGTTTCTAACAGAAACCCAGTTGTTGGCAATATTGCTAATCTGTGAATCCCATTTTGAGTAGCAGCAGTTTAACTTGTAAGGCTATTAATTGTTTATTTAACCAAGGGGTCTCAAGGGTGTTCCAGCAGCTCAGTGACATCATCCGGGACCCTCTTTATCTTCCTGTTCTGCCGCCTCTAGCTTGGTGATGAATGTTGACTTCTCATCCCTCTTATTTGTTGCCTCATTGCCCACAATATCTGCTATGATTCCTGCAATCACAGTAAAATTTCATGCAGGAAGAAGGGGCAAGGGGTGACAACAGGAGCTCTTGATTTGAGTCTGCCCCTACCATCAGGAAAACAATAGCATTTCCAGAAGGCTCAAGCAAGTATTCCCTGAGCTCTCACCAGGGAGAAGGGGGTTCCATGGACACCCTTGGCTGGAAGGGAAGATGGGAGAGAGAATGTATTAGTTTCCTACTGTTGCTGTTACAAATTGACACAAACTTAATTGCTCAAAACCCAAAGATTTATTATTTGACAGCTCCGGAGGTCACAAGTCCTAAAATCAAGGTGCTGGGCAGGGAGAATCTGTTTTCTTGTTTTTTCCAGCTTGGCTCATGGCCTCTTCCTCCATCTTTTTTTTTTTTCCCTTTAATTTTTATTAGTTGGAGGCTAATTACTTTACACTATTGTAGTGGGTTTTGTCATACATTGACATGAATCAGCCATGGATTTACATGTATTCCCCATCCCGGTCCCCCCTCCCACCTCCCTCTCTATCCAATCCCTCTGAGTCTTCCCAGTGCACCAGGCCCAAGCACTTGTCTCATGCATCCAACCTGGGCTGGTGATCTGTTTTACCCTAGATAATATACACGTTTCGATGCTGTTCTCTCGAAACATCCCACCCTCGCCTTCTCCCACAGAGTCCAAAAGTCTGTTCTGTACATCTGTGTCTCTTTTTCTGTTTTGCATATAGGGTTAT